AGTGGCTAGAAAGGCAAAATGCCGAGCTGCATGAGGAGAGGTGAGGGAAACAGTTCTCAAAACACCATCAGGCCACTAAACACACTTTGTTCTGCACTAGAATATTGTGGACTGCTGCTTTTAGCATCCCCTAAGAAGCACCTGAAAAGGTAACCTTTGATTATTATAGGGGAGAGCTAGGAGCTAGAAAGCATACAACACATGTATGAGAAAGTAAGTACTTTAAGCTACTAAACAAATACCATCAGAGTCATCTGTGAGGCCCATCTCCGCAGTTTTGAGTGGGCCTTTGTACTTCTGAAATATGAGCATATGCTGAACTGATTTTGAAACAAAAACTTAAATATTTAAGAGGAAAATGCAAAAACACTTTAAATCACTAATTCGATTCAAAGAGATTGACCTAACTTTGCTGTATTATGGCATCAGGAAAATAACTATCCATATTTAATAGTGATTAAAAGTGCGTTTGCAGAGGGAAACAAATATGTTAACAATACTGATTTCTGTAAGTCTCTGATATGGTGAAGCGTTTATGAACAAGTTGAAGAGTCCTTACTGAACAGTGAAGCTTTCTCAGACCGGGACCTAACCAAGACTGCATTTATGCATATTACTGTGGACCTCAGTTGTTCATGTCAGATATAAGCCTGCTAGTTAAAAATATTTAAGCAAGGGAAGAAAAATATAAAAGAAAAAAGAGAGTAATCATGCATTTCAAAATTACCGTTCCAGCATATGTTTGAAAATCGTCATTCTGTCACCACCGTTAATAATGACTAGTGGCGTACTTGTATAAATCTGCCTAAAACACTTGTTATTTTTGCGTTGTAATAAAATAAGAATGATGCTTACATCTCTCTATCAATTTCTGGACAAATCTGGTGGTAGTATGTACTACACACGAATATTCATCAGAGGAAAATAATGGTTATACCCATATTTAATTTTTAATCTAAGATCTTGGATATTATTTACTTTCCTGGAAGTATTAAGAGGAATAATTTCATAATTCAGTAGTGAAAAGAACTGCAAATGAACCATAAGTAAATAGAGCTGAATTACCTTTTGTAAAGACCTGAGAAGGAGAGGCTGAGGGTATGCATGTTGCATGTGAAAACCTGCAGAAATCAGATATATTCAATGTGTGAGAAACAACCTTGCTTTGAGTTCTGCCTTCAGAGTTCCCACACTCAGGAAATAAATCTGCAGGCAGGCTTTCTCTCTCTGCCTGCAGCCCTGTGTCCTGGAACAAAATGATTGCATTATAGTCTCAGAGGTGTTTTGTTTTGGTTTCATATTGCTTGCTTTATTGAAAAAGTTTGTAGTCTTAACAGTTGCGATGGAAAAAATCTTGAAATCAAATGTAGCTCGTGGCAAGAGCACTGACCTCCATCTGCGAAGATGTGATAGAAGATGGGAATGTAGCAGAGGACTGCATGCAGCTCACCCACACCATGCCTTCAAACTCCCTTTGGTTTGGGAAAAGTACCGGGGGATGTCCTGTGTGTCTCCGTAGCGCTTTGGGTCCAAAGAGGGGCACACCCATGCAGTGTCTCCAGACTCGCTGTGCTCAGGTTTACATCACGGAGCACTATTAAGTGCACAAGCTGGCTTCCCCTTGAATGAAACCGAGCCAGAAGATGGCCTCCAGAGTCACACCTCAAGCACTCTGACTGTAAGCAGCTATTCAGACAGAAACCACTTTGTGCAGTGCAGTGGTGAGCATGAGAGGGCTACACAGCAGCCCGGGAAGTTTCATACCCAAACAAGAACTATGCCATGCAGAGGTACGTGCCACCTCATGACCTGTTGGACCAGTCTGAGCTGGGACAGAGTATATCACCCTTGAAATGTGTACGGGGTGGGTGCCAGGTCTGCAGCATCAAGGGGTTTGCTCTACAGACCTGCTCCTATTTGTCCACCACATTTGCTTATGTGAACGCAACCTCCGATGCCACCAGCACGCTCAGTTGGCAGGTGACAGTTCCCTCTCTGTCCCCAGCTTTTCCCTGTCTAGGAAACTAGCAGAACAGATATGGGGGACCTAGGTCTGCAGAAGACCAGAGCGACACAGAATGAGACAAACTAAGTTTTAGCAAACGAGACAAACCAGGATTACACAAATCAGACAGCTGGTAGCTGATGCTACCAGTGATTAAGACAGAGCAGGAAACAAACCATGAAATTAGGTCTATTACAACTGACTCCATCAGGTTTTAATCTGCTTTGCCTGGATTTAACAGTTGAGAAGGATCTTCCTGACAGTCCGTCCTGGCTGCAGGATTACTATTTATGTGTGTAAAGCTAAGCAGGTGCATAAACACTTTCCTTGCTCAAGCTGAAAGGCTTTTCCTAGGCTGGCACTCCTAGAAACTGGGAAAAACGCCTGACAACTGTGCAGTCACCTACCTACACCTGTCACAGGATGACCTCCTTAGTATATTCGAATGATTTTACTAGTCTGGTTTTAAACATTTGCTAAAGAAAGAAAAGAAAGAACGAGTGTTACAAAGCTGCCTTCAGGAGCTGGATACCTAGTTCCTTTAAAATTAATGGCAGCTGACCACTCAAAACTTGCCGATGGTTTAAAATACTAAGTGGAGCGATAAGGACAACTCGAAGACTGTACTACAGATCATTAAAACTCCTTTTTATTTACATATTCAACATAAGCCTTCCGATGTTTCGCTTGGTCCTGTTCCTTCTAGTTCTGTTTCCTGATCTAAGACTGCTTCCTTTCTTGCTGTGATGCTTGAACACCCTCTCATGACGATCACCTTGCTCATCCAACACACATTTAGTGCTTTTTAATCTTCATGAATCAATCTCTTCAGATGCTTTCTCACTCTGTCATCCTCCCCTGAACTCTTTCTCGTGTGTCAACAGATTTCTGGGTTTGACGTACCCAAATTACACACTGACTTTCTCACCACTGGCTAATTAACAATTCACAGCAATATAACAGTCTCTTTCTCTTACTGATTCCTAAGATTTTGTTTCATTTCCTAAATGCATCAGTATTGGTAACAATAGCCCCCTCACATCTTACTGACACATGCAGCTCTACAGAGCAGTGGTCTTGCAGGGGGAGTGCCAGACAATCCATTGAGGTGCAGGAACAAAATGTTTTTGTAATATTAATAAATAAAACTAAATTATAAAATATTTTAAAAATAGGGGGTTTTTTAGCTTTATCTCATCCTTCTAAATTTCTATTCCTGTGTATGTTTTACAATGCACATAATATATTATTGCAGAAGTAAAATGTATATAATTTATACATAAATAAATGTACGTATATTGGGAGTGCATGTTCAGAATTTTTTTACTGATACGGGTGCACAATTATAAAAGTTTGGAGACCACTGCTACAGAAGTAAGAGGTGGTAACGTACACGTATTTTAAGTCTTAAGCTATTTGTGTCAGAAAATCCACCCCGTTGCCACTGTTCATGCTACAGCATACACCACGTCTGCTGTTGAACTCACCTGGCACGGGGTCAGGCCTTGATGACTGACACGGACTGCCTGCACAAACTGCTGCCATCACTCCCCATGGTTAATGCTCTAACCAGAGAAAAGTGAGGATGTGTGGGAGAGTTTGGACTTTGGCACCAGGCGCTCTGATTAGGGAAAAGGGATGCAGAGGTCTTTTTTCCCCTGTAAACAGAAATTCAATTAAGTTTACTGTGTGTATTTCACACATTTTGCACATGCGTGTATGTGCACAGGATATAAAAAATATCTATATCTATTACAGCATTATTTATTGTATTGCATTAGCATATTTATTACTGTATTTTGCATAGATTTACTGTGTTTACTGCACACATACATTAAATTTATGCGATACGCCTAACAAACAACACACATATATTTGACATATTCTGCATTTAGTTGTAGGTGGAAGAATTGCAACATCTATATTGTTTGACATATCACATTATAATTTACCATTTGCCTTTGGTTATAATTCTGCCCAGAATTGAACTCTTTGCACTGAATTTTTACATAATGTCTCCCCGCTTCTGACTTACTTTCTTTGGAGAGTTTAAGCAAAAGTGATTTAACCATTTTTAAGAACAAAGCTTGCAAAGAACAGACAGTTTGACCTACACTGAAAACTGTTAATCTTCTGACCATCTCCAGCCGCAGTCTGGAGAAGAAATTTAGAGAAGAGCAATTACACTAAACACGAGAAGTGTCACCCACTTTTTTTGTGACAATATAACTAGATTGGCTAAGACTTTTATTTTTGAAATACACATTTTTTGTCCTGAACCTGGCTCAAAAGGCCCTGGAACCAACATTCTGGAGGGGACTTAGAAAAAACCACCAATATTACATTCCTTATTCAAAACAGTGAATGGCTTAGCTCAGGGGTTCCTGACTAAGACCTAGGTACCCAAACTAAGCTGTCCACAGCTAGACCAATGAACCACATTTTTCACAATGCTGCCAATTTTAAGTTTGATACAGAGGCTAGAACACAGTTCTGAAGTAATTCAGAAAGCAATGATTATCAGTCCCTAGCCCAGTTCAAAGCACAGTGGGCTGAGAGAATACTGAGTTCAGGCCCAGCCATCTCAAGACAAAGCTAAATAGTTCTGCAAACATAACATTTTTGCCGAAAGCTTTCCAAGCTGTGGTCTCTGAATGGTGCCATCCAAACACTTGGGGCTCCAAGGATAATATGTAAGAATAAAGTCACATTTTAAGAATAATTTTACCTAGATTTTACTTTCCACTTAGTCTTGACTGACAATGAACACATTCCTATCAGGAGTTTTGGGCTGGATTCCTGTTTGAAGGTTAAGGTTAATTCTTACTTTCAGAATTCCAAAGCTTTTCAAAAACCAAGATGCTCATTTAAAAGTGTTCACTCACAGAGCCAGTCTGGCACAATGCTGCAACTGCAGAGCACACACAATGAACATCAGATACCTTTTAATGAAGCTTTGTCTTCTTTTTCTTGTTTGCCATGGGTCATCCCTCTTCTACTCTGTATCAGTTATTGTAAATTCCTGTTCATTTCCCCATCCCTCTTTTTGCTTCGTTGTGGAGAAAGTCGGTATAACAATGTTCTCAAATTTTTCAGTTTCCTCTTTCACCACCCATCCTTGCCTTCTGTTCCAGTAGAGAGGAGTGAACCGAGCCACAGCCTGAAAAAAAAAACCAAAACAACATCTCACTGTTTTTTATACTCTGCATTTTTGCATCAAGATAATTGTTTGTTGTAGACAAACCAGGAAGGGCTGAAAGGGTAGGCGAACCAATGTATTTCTGTTATTTATCATTCGAAAGACAAATACTAATAGCAACCACCAAATTCCAGTTTTTTTTCTTTGGTCTTTAAAATCCATTTCCAGTCTTTAAATACATTCGGAGTAGACTCCTCATCTAAGAGCCTTGAAATTCCACTGCTCCAGTTAAGTAAACTAGACAAAGAAGGACAGAAAAGATGACATGACAATTCTGCGAGTTTTCAAAGGCTGCTTAAGGAAGAAAAAGCAATTTGTTCCCTGTGTCCACAGTGGGTAGGACAAGAAGGAAAGAACTAAAACTGAGGCAGAAAATGTTCAGTTTAGGCACTAGGAAAGTTCTTCTAAGCATACAAAGACTGAGGCACTAAAGCATATTGCCTGGGGACATGATGGAGTCTCCATGACTGAAGGTCTTCCAGAACTATCTAGGCAAGCCACAGCCAGGAGCAATCCTGGCAGAGGTAATCTCGTCACAAGTTCCCTTTCAGACTCTGCTTCCCTGGCACTGGTGTAATACCAAATATGGCCAAACTGAGCTAGAAGAGGAGTAAATGTGAAAATGTGAGACCAAAAGTCAACATTCACTTAACAGTTTGTAAGGTATAAATTATGCTACCTTGGGGAAGCTGTATAACTTACACTGTTTATAAAAATCACAGGCCTTTTCCGTATTGTCACTAGTTCGAGTTTGTCTAGCTAAAAATGACCAAAACCACTGGACAACTATAGGGTAAAAAATTATCTTGGGCTCTTTCTCATCCCCAAGTCAACGGAAGTTTGCCTAAAAATATTCAACACAGTTGCCAAGTTGATGGCAGTTACTAATGGGCAGCCATGGGGTCAATAGCCCTGGGCGTAGCTGGATCTATCACAGCTGAAACACAGTGGAAGAGGACAGCGAGCTTGCAATTCATACTTGTGGAGCCCCTGCTTCAATCACTGTGAGGATGTTAGCCTTTCATTCAACAAGTGGTGTCATCAATCTACTGTTTTTCTTTTCAGATCCTAATAATTAACATCGACACTGAAGCAAGGTTAACAGAGAGAGAACACAGCTTTGCTATGTTTGGATTGCTTGTGCTTGATTCTACAAGAACTTTAACAATACGACCCTAAATCTCTGAAGGAAGTCCAGTGGTAGAGCTGTCCGGGTAAGGAAATGTGGTGATTTTGCTTAGGGCACTCACTTGACCAGTAGGCTCACGGAGAACAGTAGCGCAGTCAGAGGTTGTCCTAAATCTCTTCAGCTCCTTCCAAAGAAAATCTGAAGGAGGCTTGTGAAGCACTGTAGCATCTGCTGCCCAAGCCTGCAAAGATCAAGCAGCCAGGAGGTTAAAGACAAAATGGCTCCTGGTTATTTATACAATATAAGAACTCAGTAAAACATCAGGTTTTCCTTTTTGATTTTTTTGTAACACTGGTCACTATCTGATCTGTGAAATCAAAGCTGAAAGAACTGTATTTCAAGACTTACAGCTTAGTTATAGTGATTATTTTTGAGTACCTCTCCTGTGGATTAACAGAGATTAGCAAAGGCACATTTTTCAAGGTGTGATAGTAAATCCTGGGCTTTTTGGTATAGCTTGCTGAGAGTAAGATTAAAAACAGGCAGTTTATTTTCTTCTCTGAATTACCAGGGGCATTGGAAGAGATCTGCGATATCAGCTTTAAAATTCCAGTCTCTGCTTGATTCTGGATTCCCCCCGTTCAGAGGGAACCTGTCTCTACTGGAGACTAGAAATTTTTTGTACTTTTATCCTTATACAAAAGATTTAACAATGCTGTACTTTATAAAGTGAACACAATTATCTGTGACCTTTACCACTAATGCAGTAGCAAAAGGACCTGTTGTGAAAACATTTCTCTTACCTAAGACAACCACAACATGCTTTTGCAAATGGTGTTCCTAAAGGATTTGGCATTTGCCATCTGTGAGGAAATGGCTTCAACCATTTCCTGGGAGCTGAAACAATTCTCATTCAATTTTAAACGAGGAGTATCTTGAAAAAAGTAAAAGGCTCACTTCCAAAAGTGCTCACTATACAGCTTTTTCACACATAGGCCAGAAGACGGCATTGACTGTGGCTCTCCTGGGCCCCTGCCAGCTTGCATTTCCAGCTTTCTTGCAACAGGGCTCACGCAGGGCTGCATTGACCTCCATTGAGCTTGGTGAGGAACACGGGCTTTGCCTCCTTTTATTCTGCAAGGCCTCAATTTTCATCTCAGAAGAAGAAACAAGCACTGGTGGTAAAAGAGGCTTCAGACCATATTCCAACCATCTACAAACTTGAGCATTTTTCCTTAGTTCATCTGTTGCACTCACAGGGAGCTGGGGCCTGGAAGTGCTCCCTAGCTGGCTCCCTGACACAGACACTATTGTATATGAATTTTAGATGCAAGAGTTGGCAGCCTGAATACGGCCCTTTGAAATTAATAAACCAGCAGAAATTTTCTGCTTGCCTATGCTGAAACAGAAGCTGTGGTGGACCTTCTACCTCAGTCAGTTGTTCACCCAAGAGCCCTTTATGATAATGGGAACAGCAACTGCGTCAATGACTTCAGCACTGATCAGAGCGCTTCAGAAAGGACAACTTTTGGGGTGGGTGGGAATGGTTGGTGTGTCAGAGCCGACCAAGAGGAAACCATTTCTGGGGAGATATGCAAGGTGTCTTGCAGCCAGCCAAGCAGCCAGCATCTTTACTCAGTACAGCAAGGGCTGTGCCCACTCTGAGCATGGGTACATCCCAGAGGCTGCTGGAAATGGCGTGCAGACACCAGCAGACGTTCCTCAGCTACAGATACAACTGAGCCTTGGTCACATTTAGTTCACACTTTCAAGTCATTTTCATTACCATGGATATCAGATGCATGTATTTGTTGTTTTCATTTAAAGCTGTTCTGGGGTGTGATGAAGTCATCTGACTCTTTGCTCCTTAGATCCTACCTATCTCTCTAACTCTTATTCAAACTGGCAAAAAGATAAATCTGAACTAGCTGGGGGGGAAGTAACTTTTGAAAAGCAGCAGCCCATGCACTGAATTTTTAACATCTAGTTCTGGCACGACATCAAAGGAGAGCACATCATTATCTTCCTTTTGCAGAATAGGAAACTAAGGCACAGAGTGTCATCATTTTGCCTAAAGTCATCCAACACAAAGCCAGGAACAGAGCCCCCTTGCCAGAAGAGTGGTTTATGGCTTTCTTTCCTGGATAACAGCTGTCCTCAGATAGTGGGCAAGTCTAGAAAGAAACATCATTTTTCTTTTTATTTTCAGTTGAGACCCTACTATAGTGATACCTCAGACTATACACAAAACCATATTAATTGCTTCAGTAACAACACATAAAAATGGTTTCCTTTCCAGTTCTATTATTTGTGGGTTTCCCATCCAAGGTTCACACCCTCTGTTGGCAAACACTGGCACAACTCAATATTCTGACAGTATGGGAAGCTTTTTATGGAAGCAATGGTTGGAAAAAGGAATGTATCAAACAAGGACTTTCCAGGATAGCTTCCCATTGCTGGGCAATGGGAAATGCTAGATGTGTCATGCAAATACTAGGCTTGTACTGATGATGGACATTAGCAGCTTCTTGTGAATTCATCGTTATTTGTGTTAGCCTTTCTGAAAATAGAGATGTTTGACTCTATACCATCAGGCTAAGAGTGTGCCATGGTCTGCCAGCTGAGAAAAGACACTCAAACCCCCCACACTCACTGTCACAGTGGAGTTGGGCCTCATCCTGGTCTCAGGGAGAAACCGAAATACAGACATTGGTTGACCTTGGACTTCCTGCTTCAAGAGATAATCCCCAATGCTTTCATCTTTTGCGGGAGCATAGTTCAGGATCTTTACAAAATGACGGCCTGGATCAACTTCAGCAGTTTTCAAATTTCCAATAGCACTGAAAGAGCAGAATTTGATTTGAAAATGTAAAAGCATTGCTTAATTGAAAAAATACATCTATTTCCTTATAACAACTAGCCTAGACATCAGTAATTAACGGTAAGTAAACATACCACAGGCAGAATATTTACAGCACTGCCATTCTACTTTTTATGCAGTGCCTTTCATCTGAAAAAATCCATTTGCATTAAAATGAGTTTTATTTCTCTTTCACACTGAGGTAGCATCCATTATCATCAGAAATTAAAAGATTCTTTGTGGGGTAAGAAGTCGCCAGTATACCATTCAAATTTGGTTTTGTCTAAATCTATACAGGCTACAACCTCTAAGGCTGCCTTGCGTATTTAGCCTAGTATGATTAGTGGGGAGTTGTGTAGCTGACTCTTTATAAGTTTAAGAAATTCCTCCTGTCCATCAGTATACCTTTCTCCTCCTGTCTCTCATTGTTTTTTTCCATACTAGAGAAAGACAAATCTTTATTATTAACTATTTGTTATTAACTCAGAGAGGCTCCATGCTACAAGACTGAGATTTCATCCCTCCCTTGTTTCAGAATCACAGCAAAGCAGGGTCTGTTTTGCATCTACAGTAAGATCAGGGACTTCTTGCATGAGCAGGAGAACACTCAATCTCTCTTAAGCACAGGAAAACAAATTTATCACTTGAGTGTTCCTTTAAGTAGCGCACATGTCAAGGGAGCACTTTTAAACACTCAGTTCCAGACTGTAATTCTCATCATAGGTATTATTAGACAGGTTGTGAATGAAGTCTAAGAATCATTCAGGTTTTGATACTGTATCTACTGCAATAAATTTCATTATTTAGTACTGGTGCAGTGTCTTGTCTGTCTTCTGTGCATGTAATGCTTTTGCCCTTGCCACATTTGTCTTGTTCCAGTAAGTTTAGGTCATAGACCTCTGTGTGCATAGTAAAGGTTGACCCAACAGCCCAGACAGCCTACATAGTGCTTGCTTAACATAGCCAAATCCTCCTTTGTCACAGTGTGATAAACACTGCCCACCCACCCCAAATAATTCAGCTGTGTGGTGTAGCAGTGAGTCACACTTGCTCACAACAGCCAGGCTGCCTCGAGGCTGCCACTGGCGTTGATAGATTTGGAAGCAGACCCGAGGGGAACCGCCTCCTCCCTGGCCAGAGAAGACATGCATAGTGAATGTAACACTTGGCTGCCTTTCCTCTGCCTTCCTGCAAACTTTGGGAACTCCAGAGGTCCCATCTCCCACTCAGTCCTGGACTATTGGTTCTTCACATCAGCAAGTAGAGACCTGGGGACAGCTCACCAGAGATGCAGAGCCTCAGAGGGCCTTTGGCAGCACAGCCAGGCTGGGGGGCTCCTCACCTTCGGATTCTTCCCCCTTTTCTGGCTGCTTGCTTTCATCTGGCTGCCACTGTTTGGCACATTTCTCCTTTCTCCTTGCTTGTAGAACCATGCTTTAAGCTGGTTCACTGAAACAACCCAGGGTAAAAGGTTTTGGGGGGGACATTATTTTAACCTGAGCTTTTTTGGCAGTCTCTGCAAGCTGCTGTATCAGTGCAGCTGAAGGGATGGCCAGCTGTGCTTCAAAACTTTGCAAACTGTTGATGAAAAGAAGGATCCTTTGGGATCCCTCAGTTTGTAAGCCATCATTTACACATGCAGTACACATGCAGATGTGAGATGCTGTGATTCAAATCCACCGTTGAGTTCTACATACATCACTACAGTCCTGGTGCTCCAGCAGTGACCTAGGACTCCACTGGGCTCTAAAACCAGAATGACAGCAGCAATAAAGAGAATCCCTGATATTCTTACCCTCTGGAAGGGTGTGGAGACAGTTAAGTCAATGGGAGGAGGCTTTTAAACCATACAAAAGGCGAAGATCTTCCTGACCTCTCATTTCTCTCTATCTGTACAAGGAAAGTGAAGGAAAAGTTTTGAGTGCCAAAATGTATCTAGGAGAACAGGAAAAAGCAGATGGGGAAAGATACTTTCTAAAGTGGTCTTAAAAGGCCATTTTATGGTGTAACATGTAAACATGTGAAATCCTGGTTGATAAACCAGTCAACAATGAGGGTCCAGGGTAGTGCAACTTGCCCTAAACAAGACCTCAGGTTGAACCTAGAGAAGCCAGGGAGATCTGGGAACATAAAACGGGGCTGACAGTGCTTTTTGATATAAAACACAGGACTGGTAAAGGAGTAAATGATAGGACATGGGGATTTGGTGTTGGAAGCTGCTGAAGCGTGCAAAGCTGCTGAGCTGCCAGCTTGCGTCCAGGCAATCCACTGCCTCACAGCCATGCTGGCTGAAGGTGAAGGTCAGATTCGAAGCTGCAAGGGCTAAACAGCAAGGTTGGCTCAACCATGCCTAAAGGCGAATCGAGCAAGAGCTGTTAATGACAAAGAAGAATAAACGGGTTTGACCATCCTTCAGTCTCAAATGCTTTTGTATCTGTTGGGCACTCTCCTGTGCCAGCTCAGAGAATACAGTACTTTTGGTGGGCATGGGATTGGAATGCATCGTCATGCAAGGCACGAAAATATGGCCTCCTTCTGTGAACAATTCCCAGTACCTAGAAGAGCCTAGGAGAAGCTGTTAGCTCTTGATGATCCTGCTCTGGGGAGGATTTCCAAGGTAATGGCTCTCTGGTATCTCCCTTTTGTTCCCAGGAGAAGCCATCCTCCCGTGCCCTGACTCAGCCCGGGATTAACAGTGATGTTTATTCTCTGTCTGCACATCCCAAACACAGCCTTTAAGTCAAGAGCCCTTTTTTTTGGTTAACACACATAAGTCTTAAAAAAAACACCTTAAAAATCAATGTCAGTTTTTCGTATAACATGGAGTCTGCATATAGCAAAAGAGAGAAGTGGAAGAAAAGAAGAAAGGAAGGAGAGTAGGCAGGTCTGCATCCAACACCAAGGACCTTGACTCCACTCACCACAAAACTTAAGAGCAAGTATAATTCTTCTCACTTTACTTACAA